AATTGCGCATTTAACTGGGTATATCTCCCCTTATCACTGTTTCCTTTTGCTTTCCTCCTTTCTTGGGCTACTTCCAGTGTCTCAGCAGACAACCATTTTGCCTTCTTGGTTTTCTTTTTCTTTGGGACGTACTTTGTTGCCGCCTCCTGAACAATGTCGTGGACTTCTGTCCATAGTTCTTCTGGGACTCTGTTTACTAAATCTAGTCCTTCAAATCTGTTCTTCACTTCCACTGTATATTCGCTAGGAATGTTAGTGAGATCATATCTAACTGGTCTGTGTATTTTCCCTGATCTCTTTAGTTTTATTTTAAATTGAGCAATAAGAAGTTCATGATCTGAGCTACAGTCAGCCCCAGGTCTTGTTTTCACAGACTGGATGGATGTTCGCCACCTTTGGCTGCAAAGGATGTAGTCAATCTGATTTCGGTGCTGACCATCTGATGAAGTCCATGTATAAAGCCATCTTTTAGGTTGTTGGAAGAGAGTATTTGTTATACACAGCGAGTTTTCCTGGCAAAATTCTATCAGCCTGCGTCCCGCTTCATTTTGTTCTCCCAGACCATGCTTGCCTGTGATCCCAGTTGTCATTTGACTTCCCACCTTGGCATTCCAGTCTCCTGTAATGAAAATAATGTCTCTTTTTGGTGTATTATCCAGCAGGTCCTGCAGATCCTCATAGAACTGATCTACTTCTGCTTCTTCAGCAGCTGTGGTTGGGGCGTATATTTGGATCACTGTAATGTTGAAAGGCTTTCCTTGCACTCGAATTGAGATCATTCTGTCATTTTTTGGGTTGTATCCAAGCACTGCTTTAGCGAATTTCTTATTAATTATGAAGGCTACTCCATTTCTTCGATGTTCCTCTTGTCCGCAGTAGTAGATCTGGTGGTCATCTGATGTGAAGTGGCCCATTCCAGTCCATTTCAGTTCGCTGACCCCCAGAATGTCTATCTTTAGTCTTGACATCTCACCAATAACAACATCCAATTTGCCCTGGCTCATAGATCTTACATTCCAGGTTCCTATGGTGTGTTGATCTTTAGAGCATCGGATTCGTCGTTCACCCCCAGTACCGTCGGCCGCTAGCCTTCCTTTCGGCTTTGAGCTAGCTGCGTAATCACATCTGGGGCTAGTTGAACTTATCCTCTGCTCCTCCCCAGTAGCATTTTGGCCATCTTCCGACCTGGGAGTCCCATCTTCCAATGGCATACCGACATATCTCTGGTTGTACTGGTCCATTTAGTTTTCTTGGCAAGGATATTGGGGTGGTTTGCCGTTGCCTTCCCCAGGGATCACGCTTGGTCTGACCTCTCTGCCACGACCGTCCCGTCTTGGGTGGCCCTTCACGGTTTCGCTCATGACATCATTGAGGTGCTCAAGCTCCAGCGCCACAACAAGGCGGTGATCCTTTGCTGGAGGGATTTGTAGTTTGCATCTGCAATTGTGGCAAACAAGGCTTGTAAAACTACAGACTTCTGTAACATTGAGATGGGGGGGAATGCAGTTTAACCCATCTCAATGTTACAGAAGTCTGTAGTTTTACAAGCCTTGTTTGCCACAATTGCAGATGCAAACTACACATCCCACATTATTGTGCCATGGCAAATGAAGCGGAGTCAAACTGTATTAACTCTACAGTGTAGATGCACCCATTGCAGCTTCGGTTCCGCTTCCTGTTTCTTAAAATGACGTTTTTATTACAAAATGCAATCTGGAATCCAACTTGGTTTGTGACAAAATGAGTTTAAAATCCTGATCATACATTCCTAATATATTCTGCTCTGAAGTCAACCCCATTGGGTTTAAATAAGCATGGAAAGTGATTCTGATTGTTCAGCGTTTGCAAGCCAGACAGTGTCTGCTTGCCAAGCAATTTGGACATTATTTTGCCTTGTTCAAAGAGAGAAACGCTAAGCAAGGGAAAGAAAGGCAACAGATTCCCCAAAACAGAAGATTTTGGGATGGATAGCTTTCAAGCCATAGAGGAAAGGACTCTGAATACAGAATCTTGTGACAAACATTTGGTCGCCTGTGAAGTTGAGCTTTTGCCAGCAAAAGGGATTATTGTTAGCACATACTTCATTGTGGCAAACTGGAGCAGAAAAGGCATGCCATCCTTTCATGGTTACCCCCTTTTTTAATGGCGAGCCTTCATTATTTTCTACAGTTTATGGTTTTTCTTTTGGGAGAAGGTGCCCTTTGCCTTCCTCCAAAGCTGAGAGAGTGTGACTTGCCCAAAACCACCCAGTGGGCTTTGTTGACGATTACGGATTTGAATTAATTCTCATGTTTTGACATAACATTGACCGCCATGGCTCAATGCTACAAAATTCTGGGAGTTGTAGTTTTCCAAGGTCTGACATTGCAAACTTAGAGCTCCTGGGATTCCCTCACATTGAGGCTGGATCTACGCTGCCATGTAATCCAGTTTCTGAATCCAATTGCTTTGGACTGGGTTATATGGGTCTACAATGCCATATAATCCGATTCAAAGCAGAGAATCTAGTTTCAGAAACTGGATTATATGGCAGTCTAGATGGGCCTGGGCCATAGGAGTTAAAGTGGTGTCAATTTGCATTGGTTCTACAGTGTAGACACTCTCAAAATTCAGATCTCTGGCTGAGCATGGATTTGAACCCTGGATCCTTGAACTGGAGACTGGGTGTGTCTATACTATAGAATGAAGGCAGTTTGACCCCACTTTGACTACCATGGCTCCATGCTATGGAATCCTGGGAGCTGTAATTTGGCAGAGAAAGCTATAGACCTTGCAAACTACATTTCTCAGGATTCCATAGCACTGAGCGAAGGCAGTCAAAATGGGGTCAAACTGCATTAATTCTACAGTGTAGACACAACCAGGATCAAACCAGACTTAAGCATGAAGTCCTATTGATTTTATTGGGAGCTTTCTGCTTACATTATTATTATTATTATTATTATTATTATTATTACTACTACTACTACTACATCGTTGGTGGTGGTGGTGGTGGTGGTGTTGTTATCATCATTCACATGTTGTTGTTGTTGTTGTTGTTGTTGTTTCTTCTTACCTGCCTCTCCCATGAATCAAGACATATACTGTCAGTTAGCACATTAGCAGTGTAGTAAAATATAAGAAATGCAGTCTATTGAAAGCAAATATCCAGTCATATATTAAAACAATTCACTCGACTTTATTTCTGGGTTGAATTGTATTTTCTGAAACATTCTTGGTTTGCAAAAGGGTTCGACTCTTGTTGCAAAAGGGGAATGAGGAAATTGATGGCATTTTCACAACTGGCTGCGTTTCTTCCAGCACAATAAGCTTCTGTGAACTAAAATCAGGCATTGGGTGCATGAAAAGTTATCCTGAATTGGCCGGCTTTTGGGAACAGAAGCGAGCGGAGGGAGGCGGCTTGTGTGTTGTGTGAGAAGGAAATGCAAAATTTGCAGACTGTATGCCCGTGTGTGTATATATATATATATATATAATATGATTGTTAATATGCATCAAAACCTGTTCAGCGTGGAATCTGAAATGTTGGCTTTGAAATGTCTCTGAAGCATGAATGTCAAATCAGATTTAACATTTAACAAATTTGGAATGTTTAAATGCAATATGTGGGGAATGGAATTGAGTAGTTGGGCCCAAAAGGCACCCAAATCCTATCTGATCTTGGGAGCTAAGCAGGGTCGGCTTTGGTGCTCCATGCAGTCATGCCGGCCGCATGACCTAGGAAATGTCTATGGACAACACTGGCTCTTCGGCTTAGAAATGGAGATGAGCACCAATTCTCAGAGTCAGACTCGATTAGACTTAATGTCAAGGGGAAACCTTTATCCTTTACCTAATAGTAGTAGTAGTTGTAATCATCTCAAGAGTTGTAGATGATTATGATGATATTTATATACCATTTAATAATAATAATAATAAGTAGCAACAGTAGTAGTAAACATCCCAAGAGTTATAGATGATGATGATGATGATGATGATGATATTTATTTATAAATCATTTTTATAATAATAATAATAATAATAAGAAGAAGAAGAAGAAGAAGAAGAAGAAGAAGTAATAGTAGCAGTAATCATCCCGGGAGTTGTAGATGATGATGGTGATGGTGATGATATTTATACATCATTTTTATAATAATAATAATAATAAGTAGTAGTAGTAGTCGTCATGATCGTCGTCATCATCTTGAGAGTTGTAGATGATGATGATATTTATATATAATTTTTATAATAATAATAATAAGAAGAAGAGGTAGAGGTAGTAATAGTAGCGGTAATAATCCCGGGAGATGTAGATGATGATGAAGATGATGAAGATATTTATACATCATTTTTCTAATAATAATAATAATTATGATTATGATGATAATAATAATAATAATAATAAGTAGTTATAATTATGATCGTCGTCATCTTGGGAGTTGTAGATGATGATTATGTTGATATGACATTTATATACCATTTTTCTAAAAATAGTAGTAATAATAGTAAAAAATAGTAGTAGTAATAAGGTAGTAATAGTCATCTTTGTCATTGTCCTGGAAGTTGTAGATGGTGGTGGTAGTAGTAGTGATGCTATTTATATACCATTCTTTGAAGATGAAGAAGCTGTCGTCGCCATCATCCTGGGAGATGTAGATCTTGATGATGAGGATATTTATATACCATTCGTCTTCATCATCATCATGATCTACATCTCCTGGGATGGTGATAACATCTTCTTCCTCATCCCGGGAGTTATAGATCATGATTATTAGATTTATATACCACCCATCTTATCCATCATCCACATCATATACAACTCCCAGGATTCCACAGCATGGAACCATGACAATACAAGTGGTGTTATTCTGCAGTGCAGATGCAGCCTTACAAGACTAGGCTTGCATTTTCATTGTGGGGGGCACCTGTGGCTAAGAAAATGAGACTTTTTTTGCATAATCACCTATGTACTAAGGGTGCAAGCCTTTTCACTTTGCCACCTCTCTTCTTTCCCTAACAAGCTTGCTCAGTGAGAGTGAGAAGCGTCCCTTTGTGGAGGAAGCAGAGCGGCTGAGGGTCCAGCACAAGAAGGACCACCCTGACTACAAATACCAGCCCCGGCGGAGGAAGAGCGTCAAGGCCGGCCAGAGTGATTCAGACTCCGGGGCCGAACTGGGCCACCATGGCGCGAGCCAGGTCTACAAGACTGACACTGGACTGGGCTCCATGAACGAAGGCCACCACCACGGAGACCACACAGGTAAAGAAAGCCAGGTACCACATGGATGGCACAGCCAGAGCCATCTCTGGTTGAGCCCTGCACATCTCTGATGGGAGGTTCAGTCCTTTGATAAAGAAAGTCGCAAAGAATGGCATCTTTATCATCTCTCACCTTGGGTTGCTGACACTGTGAAGGGGCATCACTGGATGGAGATACAAGAGACTATATGCCATAAAAGACAGGAAAGAAAAATTTGCAAGACTCATATATTCACCTTTGAGGAACAGATAGGGATATGTGGTCCTCCAGGTATTTTTGGCCATCATCCATCAGTGTTTAGGAAGACATATTCCAACATCTGTTTCCACCCAGGCCTTTGTGTTTTCATAGGTTCCATCTACACTGCCTTAGAATGGCATTTGAAACGGTATTGTATGATCAGTTTAGACTCATGCAATGCTGTTGAACTGCATTATGTGAATCTCTATTGTGATCATATTATGCAGTTATGGCAGTGTAGATTATGGGCCCTTACATTGCAAGGACTTTTTCCTTTTGGAATAACCTGGCAATAATAATAATAACAACAATACTTTTATTTCATGTCAGAAGTGACTTGAGAAACCACAAGTTATTTCTGGTGTGAGACAACTGGCCGTCTGCAAGGGTGTATTGATGCTTTACCATCCTTGTGATAGGCTTCTCTCATGTCCCTGCATGGGGAGCTGGAGCTGATAGAGGGAGCTCATCTGTGCTCTCCCCAGATTCGAACCTCTGACCTGCCGGTCTTCAGTCCTGCCGGCACAAGGGACAATTATTATTATTATTATCATTATTATTTATAATTATAATAGCCAATTTGTTTCTCCTTTATGGAGAGAAAAAGTGGGATATAAATAAACATAATAAATATACCATAACAAACATAATAAATATGACAGGGGGTTGGTCTACATGGCCCATGTGGTCTCTTCCAAGGCTATTATTCTATTAATCTAAAATAACAGTAATAATAATAATTTATTACCCACCTTGGTTATTTAAAAATAACTTTAAAATAAGATATTCACCATTTGGATTCAGTTAGGAAGGTCAAAATCTGCAGTGCTTCTCAAAACTAAAATGAAATGTGAGAGCTTGAAAGGAGAAGAGAAATTATACATCATTGGATCAATTTTCATAAGGAGAAGAGATAAACATTGAGGTTTGTACAGACAGAACAATGGTTCCCAATATTTGATCCTCCATATGTTTTCGGTTACAATTCCCAGAATTCCTGACTACTGGTCAAGCCAGATGGGACTTCTAGGAGTTGGAGTCCTAGAAGTCCATTGGGAACCATTCATATAAGATTAAAGTCTTTCAAGGGGTGCACCTATGCAGTTTGGCACCACTTTAAACTCCATGGTTCAATGCTCTGGAATTCTGGACATTGTAGCTTGGTCAGGCACCAGCCCTCTTTGGCCAATAAGGTGAAAGACCTTGTGAAATTACAACTCCCGTTATCCCTGGAGAAGAGATAAATCTCAGCACTTGAAGTGCCCTTGACCAGTACTATGAGACTGTGTTAGTTATCGTTTTGCAAAGTGCCAATCTACCAACTGCCAGGAGACCATGGCATTGAGCCCTGGTGGTTCAAGTGGGCTCAACTATATTCAAGTTGGTGCAGCCTTGGGTCACTTAGGTCCCCAAAAGTTATAGCCACCACTGACCTATTTCTTTATCTTCAGGACAGCCCCACGGGCCCCCGACCCCTCCAACCACCCCAAAGACGGATCTCCACCATGGGGCCAAGCAGGAGCCAAAGCACGAAGGCCGGCGACCAGTGGAGAGCGGCCGGCAGAACATTGACTTCAGCAACGTGGACATCTCTGAGCTGAGCAGTGAGGTCATCAACAACATGGAGACCTTCGACGTCCATGAGTTCGACCAGTATTTGCCGCTCAACGGCCACTCGGGTCTACCCTCAGCAGCGGCGGAACATGGGCAGAACTCCACAGCGGCAGCAGGGGGCTCTTATGGGGCACCGTACGGTGGAGGAACGCCCCCAGTTTGGACACACAAAAGCCCCAGCTCCGTGTCTCCGTCCTCTGCCGAAGCCGGGCAGCAACAGCGGCCGCACATCAAGACGGAGCAACTCAGCCCCAGCCATTATAATGACCAACCGCATGGCTCGCCAACCCACTCTGATTATGGGTCATACGGCACCCAAGCAAGCACCACAACGGTCTCCGCAGCACCAGCCACAGCCTCCTTCTCTGGCTCCCAGTGCGACTACACTGATCTCCAGAGCTCCAGCTACTACAACCCCTATTCAGGGTACCCTTCCAGCATCTACCAGTACCCCTACTTCCATTCCTCACGCCGTCCTTATGCCACCCCGATCCTGAACAGCCTCTCCATTCCGCCATCACACAGCCCCACCACCAACTGGGACCAACCCGTCTACACGACACTGACGAGGCCCTGAAAGAGGACCAAAGTGGGGGGGACAGTGATTCTAACAAGATCTCCTTTCCCCTAAAATAAAAACATTGAGGTGGAGCAAGCTTGTGTTCTGCTGCTCCAGAGACTAGGACACCACGGAGCCATGGTTTCAAATTGCAGTGAAAGAGATGTGGTCCACTGGAGTCTCCCTCTCCAGAAGTCTTGGATGGCCATCTGTCGGGAAGGCTTGGATGGTGTCTGTCTTCACGGCAGAATGAGGTCAGACTGGAGTCTCTTCCAGCTCTAGGATTCTGTATTTCTCCGATTCTATGTATGCACTACACAAATGAAGGGGGAAAATGGCAAAACAGTAAAATACCTTCCGCGGAGCATCGGTTTGTTGTCTCAAGTGCCTCCTCTTTCTTCTCCTCCGGGACTTTCCCGTGACATTTTCAAAGATTCTATTTTCTCTATTAATAATAATAATTAATAATGAGCAGTGGAGGAAAAAATATTAATAATAATAATAATAACAGCAACAGTAACAACTTATGACCAGTCTTTTGGAGAAATAGAGGACGAGATGTTCTAACTCATCTGTGAGGCCTTGAAAAAGCAGGATTCGAACGCAGGACGAAAGAGGAGGAGATGACGGTGTCCGAGGGTCCGTTGCAATTGGGACACAAAGAATCCAAGTAGATTCACAAAAATAAACCTGAACCCTCAAAAGGGACCATTCGAGAATCTGCTGGGACCGAATGACTAATGTCAGATTTTCTTTGTTTTTGTTGCAATTTTTCTTCAAAGCCCAGCTTTGGTTGCAGTTAACGTTGTTGTTGGGAAGCTTGGAAGCAAACAAGAAGCGTGTTAAAGCTCCGAAAAAGAAGCAAAAGGAAAGTTGTTTTGATTATTTTTTGTTGGGGGGGGGGGTGGTAAACTTGTTAAATATGTATTTATGTTCTGTGTCGTTTTGGTCTTTTGTTTTTTAATTAATGGAGTAATTCTGTGCAAGAAGTCGATATTCTTGAAGAAAAGAGAGATTTGTTTTCAAAACAGCATCAGAGGCAGGGTGATATTTTCCCCAAACCTGTCCTTTTTTGAGAAATAAAAAGATATTGCACCATTTGGATTCAGTTAGGAAGGTCAAAATCTGCAGCACATCTCAAAATTAAATTGCAATGCGAGAGCTTGAAAGAAGAGGAGAAATACATCATTAGATCAGTTTCATAAGGAGAAGGATAACTTAATATTGAGTCTTATACGGATCAGTGGTTCCCTATCTTTGGTCCTCCAGGTATTTAAGACTACAATTCCCATCATTCCCAACTATTGGCTAATGGGGAGTTGGAGTCCAAACATTTGGAGGACTCCCAAGTTGGGAGCCATTTGTATAAGATTAAAGTGTGTCAAGGGGTGCGTCTACACAGTTGAATGAATACAGTTTGACACTGCTTTAAAACCCATCTTTCGATGCTCTGGAGTGCTGGGAGTTGTAGTTTGGTCAAACACCAGCCCTCTTTGGCAGAGAAGGCCTTGTGATTTTTTTTTTCATGTCAGAAGTGACTTGAGAAATTACAAGTCACTTCCGGTGTGAAAGAATAGGCTGTCTGCAAAGATGTTGCCCAGGGGACACCCAGATGTTTTACCATCCTGTGGGAGTCTTCTCTCATATCTCCGCACAGGAAGCTGGAGCTGACAGACAGGAGCTCACCCCTTCTTGTGGATTCGAACTGCCAACCTTCAGGTCAGCAGTTCAGCCAGCACAAGGGCTTAATCCAGTGGTTCTCAACCTGTGGGTCCCCAGATGTTTTGGCCTTAAACTCCCAGAAATCCTAACAGCTGGTAAACTGGCTGGGATTTCTGGGAGTTGTAGGCCAAAACACCTGGGGACCCACAGGTTGAGAACCACTGGTTTAATCCATTGAGCCACCACGTCTCCTCTTGTGAAATTACATCTCCCGTTATCCGATTGCTTTAAGCCATGGTAATCCCAAGTGGTCTCAAACTGCATTAACTCAACAGTGTAAATGCCCCACTAACCTATTAGGCAAACTGTTGCACTCATTGGATGCACAGAAGGCTTGCCTTTGTCATTGAGAACAATTCAAAGCCGGGTGGCCACGTGTCAGGAGTGCTAGGATTTGGGTTGGACTAGATTACCTTTAGGACCCCATCCAGCTTTCACAAACCAGAACTGTTCTGCCCATATATGCCACCGTACAACTGTGTGGGTTTGGACAGATGTTCATTGAGGTTTTTTGGACGAACATCACAATGAAATTCAATGTTTATGGTGTATGGGCACTTGACCAACGTTATCCTAAGAGAATACCATAAAAGTCTTGGAATAAGCTCCTTTTGGGGCATTTTTAAAGCCTATCTTCCAAGCTTTGGCCATTTTGGAGGTTGTTTCAAGTCCAATGCCTTCATGTGATGAGCCTTAAGATTCAGACATTCTTATCCATATGGCAGAACTGGGCTTTTGTTTCTCCTAGGATGCATCTACACTGTAGAATTAATGCAGTTTAACACCCTTTGAGCTGCCTGGCTCAATGTTATGGCATCCCAGGAGTTTTAGTTATAGTTTTGAGCCTTCTCTGCTAAAGTTCCAGTGCCTCCCCAAACTACAACTCCCAGGATTCCATAACAATCAAAGTGGCATCAAACTGCATTAAATCCACCGTGTGGATGCACCCCCAATTAAGATGGTGTGGATTTTTCAGGTTGAGTTGTAGCTCTCTTTCCCTTCTTTCTTTCCAAGGGGGAAAAAAATTCACAATTCCAGGAACCCATTCCAACTACTGTATATTATTACGTGCATGTAGTCTTACAAGAGGAACTACTGCTCAATGCAAGCAAAATGTGAATTTTTGGAGATTTCCTTTCTCCAAGATGAAAGGGACACCAATCGATTTTTCCGTAGTTGAAACCAACTTTGGAAGTTTTGGATTCAGTTTCACTTTTAAATCTTGCCTATTTGGGGACCAGAGGTTCATCCACCCAAGCTGTGAAAAACAAAACAGTTCTCCGCTTTGATTTGGGTTTGTTTTTAGACTCTCGACTAATTCTTTCTTCGACATGTGTCCCATTGTATGCTGAGCATATAATAACCGCCTCCTTTAATGATCATGTTGTGCCTTTTAAAAACAAGAAAAAGAAATAAGACTTTATAAATCTTTAAACTTTCAGAGGTTGTCTTATCTTTTTGTTTTCCTACGTTTCGTTTCCTTGAAATGATTCCTTTCCTCCTTTTGTTCTAAAGGGGGGAATGCCTTTGGGGAATTTGGGGGGAGGGGGTTGAGAACAGAAATGCCTTTTTATGCAATCTTATAATTTGTTTTTTCCTCCTGTTTGGTCATCTGTTTGATCTGTTCTGTTTCACTTGCTTCTGACTAAGTCATGCTAACTTTTGTACAGATCCATTTCATAAAATTAAAAAAAGTCTTTTATTCAACCTTTGCTGATATATTTTTTCCTTTTTATACCAGCTACCAAACTCACAAGTTGTGTATTTTTCTGTTTGTTTGCTTTGTTCTGTTAGACTGGTTGTTCTGACACGACAAATAAAAAATAAATAATTGTGAAACAAAGAAATGAGTAAGTTATGAAAAAAGGAGAGGCAGGCAATACAAATAATAATAATAATAATAATAATAATAATAATAATAATAATAATAATGCTTTATTTATACCCCGCCAGTATCTCCTGGAGGGACTCGGAGCGGCTCACAAAGCACTCAAAGGTGCAAACACGCAAAATACAAAAAGTGCAAAGACAATAACACAAAAGCAATAACAACCAACATAAACATCATAACCCTGCCCCCCAGTTAAGATCAGTAAAATGCAACAATTGCCACGGATATAAACCAACTGCAATCAATATCAGTCTCATAAATTGCACGGTGAAAATAATTTCTATATCCTCGAGTATGTTCTTTAAGGGTATTAGCACCATTATCACTATTATTATAACTATTATCATTTTTATTGTTATTAGTAGTATCATTTTAATCGTTATCATTTTACTATAATTTAACTATTATCATAATTTTAATTGTTTTATCATTATCATTTTAATTGTTATTATCATTGTAACTATTATTATCATTCTTCTTTATTATTATTACTAGCTTGGGGACTCAGCAGTGCCTAGGTGATTTATAAAAGGCATTTTTTGTTTTGGGAAGTTTGGTAATATCTCTGGATGCAGGGTGAACTACCATTTCCATGCGGGTGGGTCATGTCATCCCCCCCACCCACAACTCCTTGAGTATGTAATGTTGGTCACCAGGGTTCTGTGTGCCAAGTTTCATGCAGATTCATAGTTGGGTGGCTTCAGTGCTGTTTGGATAAGGGTGAACTACAACTCCCAGATCCAGGGTCAATCTCCCCCAAACCCTGTCTGTATGCACAGTTGGCCATGTTGGGTCTGTGTGCCAAGTTTGATCCAGATCTGACATCGGATGGGTTCAGTGCTCTCTGGGTAAGAGTGAACTACAACTCCCAGATCCAAGGTCAATCTCCCCCAAACCCCACCTGTTTGCACAGTTGGCCATGTTGGGTCTGCGTGCCAAGTTTGATCCAGATACAACATCGGCTCTCTGGATAAGGATGAACTACAACTCCCAAAATCAAGGTCAGTTCTCAAAAACCCCAGCGGTATGTTCAATTGGTCATGGGGAGTCTGTGTGCCAAGTTTGGTCCAGATCCGATATTGGCTGGGTTCAGTGCTCTCTGCATAAGGGCGAACTACAACTCCCAGATCTAAGGTCAATGACCCCCAAACCCTGCCTGTATGCACAGTGGGCTATGTTGGATCTGTGTGCCAAGTTTGATCTAGATCTGATGTCGACTGGTCTGTCTGCTATCTAGATAAGGGTGAACTACAACTCCCAAAATCAAGGTAATTTCACACAAACTCCAGCAGTATGTTCAGTTTGTCACGGGGCTTCTCTGTGCCATATTTGGTCCTGATCCATTGTTGGTGGGGGTCACAGTTTCTCTGGATGTAGGTGAACTATCCAGGCTGTCTTGTGTTTGTGGAGGACACTGGCAGGGCTTGTACATGTTCACTGTGCTCACTCTAACCTGCAATGTAATTGGAGGGAGAGCCTTTGGTGGCACCTCATAGGTGAGGTTCATAGCTGTTTGTGGAAATTAGAGCCTGTCTGTGAAAGTGGAAACCCCAGCCACATACACACATACATATTTTCACTTTTATTATGTGTATAAATATTATTATTACCATTATCATTGTTGTTATTGTTGTTGTTATACATTATACATTATGCAATGAATGCAGTTTGACACCACTTTAATCGCCATGACTCCAATGCTACGGAATCCTGGGATTTGTAGTTTGCACTCTTGGGCAGAGAAAGATCAAGACCTTGCAAAACTACAACTCCCAGGATCCCATTGCATTGAATCATCAAAGCAGCATCAAACCGCATTTGTCTTACAGTGCAGATGCACCCAAAACATGGAGATCTCTTTAACTTGTCTTTGAACATTGAGAATAAATCTACTTTTAGCAACTCGAACTCTGGTTGAAAAGCTTTGGTGCAATTGGGCTCCAAGCAATAAAACAGAGTTAGCTATCAACAAAGAATAAGGAAGGTTCCTCTTTTTTGAGAGGGAGAAGGGGGTCATTTGTTTTAGCCGCACACTAATAACATTGAGTTAAAAAAAGAGGAAAATTGTTTTATAAACAATCTTCTGATCATTTACTGCTATAGAAAAAGCCCCATCCCGTCTAAATACCCTAGTGTTCATTAATAATTTCCCATCTTTCTTATTAGGATTTCACCGTCTGAGATAAGAAATTGAGAACTTAGAATTAAAGGCTTCTTTGTCATTGGATTCCTATGGATTGAGCCAAATGTAATAAATTAATATTGAGTTCCTTTTGGATATGTTGAAAACTCAATGGTGAAATAAAAGCAAAATGGCAACTTACCCCTAATTAACAGATCTCCAATCGTTTCCTCTCTGGGAACATCTACACTGTACATTTAATGCAGTGTGACGCTTCTTTAGCTGTTATGGCTCAATACAATGGGCATTGTGGTTTTACAAGATCTTGAGCCTTCTCTTCTAAATTACAACTCCCAGAATCCCATCACATTGAGCTGTGGCAGTGAAAGTGGAACTTAAACTGTATTAATTCTATAGTGTAGACGCACTTTAAGATGCAAAGTGCTTATTTCATTCTTTCATGTTGGAAAGCACAGCATTTCTGGAAAAAGATAACAACAACAACAACAACAATAAGAATCCAGCATATATATCTCATTTGCTGTGACATATTGTGTTTTGGTGTCAGGAAAATAACAACAACAACAACAACAATAACAACAATTTTATTTTTTACCTGCCTCTCCTCATGACGGAGGGTTACAGAGTAATTAGAACACATACGTAAACATTGTAAAAATACCATAAATACACATCTTAAACATGTATTTCTATAAAAGATACATATTAAAACATATTTCCATAAAGAGTTAAGTGTTTGGCAACTGCTATCGCCAGAATCCGTTGATTATTGCAGCCAAGATTCAATGTTTCTATAATGTAAAAATTCAAGGGCATTTGTGCAAAAGAGGGGACCCCGTTAGAATGTATTTGCCAATGCATGCAGTCATTGCAAGTGTGCCCAAAATATCACCCTTAGAGATGGAAATTGGAAACTAATTCAGGAAAACAATCCCAAAAAACAAAGTTTGATTCTAGTCATAGTTTGAGCACCATTTTATGCATCCTCTCCATCGCTTGTTGGAACCATTTGCCATTCTATATCAGGGACCATCATTGCATATAACGGGATTTGAGCACCCATGGATCTGGGGATCCAAACTATGACAAAAATAAAATCCGTAATGCTACCAATAGGCTCATAGGGGGATAGAAATGGAACTGGAGTGGAAATAATCTATTGGACAGATGGCAAGCTATCCAACCTTAGCAGATTAAAAACCAAAACCAAGGTCACAACAACATTGGTTATTGAACTCCAATATGCCGATGATAACATAGTCCGTGCTCATTTAGAAGAAGACCTACAAGCCACTCTAAACACCTTTGCAGAAGCATACAAGAAACTTGGCCTCTCATTGAACATCAAGAAAACCAACATGCTCTTCCAGCAGGCACCAGCCAATCCCGCTGCAATGCCAGAAATACAACTCAATGGTGTAACATTAGAAAACGTTGACCATTTCTGCTCCCTTGGCAGCCACCTCTCCAGAAAAGCCAACATTGACACTGAAATACAACACTGCCTGAGCTCTGCGAGTGCCGCATTTTTCCGAATGAAGAAGAGAATGTTTGAGGACTGGGACATCCGTAGGGAGACCAAGGTGCTTGTTTATAAAACCATTGTCCTCCCAACCCTGCTATATGCTTGCAAAACGTGGACTGTCTACAGACATCACACTCAACTCCTGGAACGATTCCATCTGCGTTGCTGCCAAAAAATCCTGCAAATCTCTTGGGAAGACAGGCAGATAAATGTCAGCATGCTCGAATAAGCAAAGACCACCATCATTGAAGCGATGCTCCTACACCATCAACTCGGTTGAACTGCCCACATTGTCCAAATGTCTTATCACCGTCTCCCAAAGCAGTTACGCTACTCCCAACTTAAGAATGGAAAAGGTAATGTTGGTGGACAGAAAAAGAGATTTAAAGATGGGCTTAAAGCTAACCTTAAAAACTGTGGCATAGACACCAAGAACTGGGAAGCCCTGGCTCTTGAGTGCTCTAACTGGAGGTCAGCTGTGACCAGCAGTGCTGTGGAATTCAAAGAGGCATGAATGGAGGGAGAAACATGTCAAGAGGAAGGCGGGTCAAGTCAACCCCAACTGGGACCACCTTCCACCTGGAAACTGATGCCCTCACTATGGAAAAACATGCAGATCAAGAATAGGGCTCCAGAGTCACCTACATATCCACCACCAAGGCACTACACTTGGAACGCCACCACACTCGGATAACAAGGGATCTTCTAAGGAAAGGAACTGGGATAGAACTATGTCGATTCCTCCAAATAATCTTCTTTGAATGTTGTCTGAAAATGGTGGATTTTCTCCACGGAGGAAAAAATAAAAGTGAAGTCTGCCGTGATCTTCCCTTTTTCATCTTCCTTTTTCCCCGGTGTGAAGTTGAGCCACCCATGCTTAGGACACGGGCAAGGCCTGGGGAGAAGCCAAGAGGGCCAGAGAAAACAGGGATTGGAAAGGAAAAGAGCTGTTGAATGCTAATGACTCATTACTGCTTTCAGGGCCTTTTGTCTCCTTTTTATCCGGTCCGCCATAAAAAGAATTAATTGGACAGAAGAAAATGGCAGGCTCCCGGACTGACCGCTCATTAAGGCCGCCTGAACGCCACTGAGGCACCCAAATTGTCCTTGGTTTGCCAAAACAATTTTGGGGTGCATCTACACCAGGC